TGGAAATGAGTAGATTTAGATTAGATATTAGGAAGAAATTCTTTACTGTGAGGGTGGTGAGACACTGGAACAGGTTGCCCAGGGAAGCTGTCAATGCCTCATCCCTGGAGCTGTTCAAGGCCAGGTTGGATGGGGCTTTGAGCAACCTGGTCTAGTGGGAGGTGTTCTTGCCTATGACAGGTGGGTTGGAACTAAGTGATCTTTAAGGCCTCTTCCAACCTAAACCATTCTATGATTCTGTGATTCTATAACTTCCTCAGAATTGCAATTACGAATTCTCTTATTGGTTTTTTTTTGCTTCATATTTAAGCAAATATACAATGTACACTTCTCATTAGAATTACAATCAGATTAGTTTGGGTTGCTTTTTTTTTTCCAATTCTTATGCCCTGATTTCCATTAGTGGTTTTGTGAAGGATTTTGGAAGAGGTTAGACGAAACAGTAGCTGCAAACATCAAAGGCAAATCTCTTTTGCTTTTTCGTTCATCTCTTTCACCCTTTTGCCCTGCAGACCTAGATAATAAATTTAGAATGGCCCTTGAAGAGAACATGGAATTCTTCAGGAATAGCACCAGTCCCCTTCTTACTGGGGAACTCTTCCTGCATCTTGACGCATTCTAAGATTTTAACTCCATATTAAAGCTGTAAGGACTAAGATCTGTTTAGCTATTTCTGCTTGTTGGGCAAACCTTTTTTTTGACTGTGCAGTAGAATCAGTTTTCAAGGAGGGGCTTCACACTTAATTTTTTAAGCCTTTTCCACCTCCGGCTGGCTTGGATACTCCTCATCGCCCAACCACTTCTCATCTCTCCTTTTTGATTTGCATTGTATGGCAAGACAGAGAGTGTTACTTGTGATTTTGGGGATGGTGGGAAGAGCGAGGATTTGCAAAGGATGGTCACAGGGGCCTCATGGGAGAGTCTTAGAGCAGTGTGGGGAGTGTGGTTAAATACTGTAGCTTGGATCCATAAGCAGAAAGGGAAGGTTCACTGAATGTGAGTGGAGATTGTAGGGGGCTTTAAGACTCACATTTTCTCATGTGTCTGCCTAAACAGTCATATCCCCTCTCACGTCCACTGCCTTCTTAAAAATGTTCCTTTTTCTTCATGGCAATCTTTGCATAACATTCCCAGTTTTTCAACTGACAGGACCAAGGCTGCTGCCTACTCTTTGGGTTGAAATAATGGCTAGCGGGAAAGAGAAGAAATGGTGCTGGAGTATGACGCCACTGGTACAATTCTTTACTCCCTGCTGATAAGCCCCAGTTAGTGGATGGGGAGATCTTCAAAAGAGCTGTCGATAACAACACTTTTAAATTAAACTGGAACAACAACATGTAGATGACTCTAAAACTGTCTTTCACTGAGTTGAGGTTACCCAGTTGTGTCCCTTGTCCTTTCAGACTGACTAGTTCCATGAGGCAGCCCCATGCGAGAAAGGGTTCCTGTAACCTCAGGGGTTTCTTCACACCTGCTTGTAACCATAACATAGTACCATGAAGAGAGGATGGAGTAATTAATGAGATGTTCACATGCATATAGGAGTTTAAATATAAAACTGACTATATTTATTAAAATACACCTGGATTAATGTTTATAAAGGTTAATGTTCCAGGTGTGTTGAGCAGCAACACTAAGTAATAAAATCAAGTCCACTGGTACGTCTACAAGTCAGCCCTTAATTTTACTCTTTACAAAGCATGAAAAGAGTTTCAGAGCATTTCATTCAGTAAATAGGTTCATCAGGCTGCATTGGGACTCATTTAAATCTTTTCCTGTGAGCAGTAGACAGACGCTGTTCCCCAGAATTTTCGGTGGTTGTTTAATGTTGGCCTACCTGTTCTTTTGATACCTTTTTTTTCTGCACATAGTTTCTCTTCAGTGAAAGGAAGGGTTGGCTTTTTGAACCATCAGAGCAACTGGCCCCAAGGAAGAAAAGAAAGCAAGCTCATACAGTTAAACGAATGGTAGAATCTAGCAAATTGTATCAACTAAAAATCACTTTTTAAAATACTCATTACTCAAGAGTCTGGCAGAGCCACATCTATTTAATTGCTTCTGTTCCCTACAAAGACTGAAGCTGTGGTCTTTGAAGAAGAAATGTCACAACTGAGGCAGGTGTGCTGCTTAAGGGCTGGCTTCAAATGGGCCTCAGAGTGCTGGGGAACAGTCTGGACAATCTGAAGAGGAACAATTCAGTCCGAAAGAACCAGCAGAATTAATTTGGGACTCCCAGCTCCCTGCCAGTCTTACTTAACTGGCAGCATCTAGAGCTTTATGTAGTGCATGCTAAACAAACTGGGAAAATAGTGAAGGATAGTACAGGAAAGGAAACTGATAGTGAATATACTTTTCAGTTAATGTATCTGAGGAAAGGATTTTAAGACATTTTGTCTTCTTACTGCTTATGTGGTAGGAAAATAAATGAGAACGAGAAAATGTGAAAAAAAATTACAAGTATCTGAAGCATTTTAGCTGCATAAAAATGGAAATAGTGTATCATCCATATAGGATGCATTTGAAGGGATAAGTAGTTGTAGGTATTGGAATCTTTTTTTGGCGTGGTATGTTTCAATACCTATTTATTTAAGCCATTAGAAGTAATAATTTTGTCTTTAATATTATGAATTATTTTTCTAGTTAGTAGAATAAATGAGTGAAATCTTTTATTTAATCAGAGCATAGGTATTTCAGTCCTAAAAACTGCTAAAAAATTGCTCCACAGGGCAACATGAAATTTTCATTGATCTACCCATGGAGCAGTGTCTCTTTGTACAGAAAGATTTCAGTACATTAGAGCATCCCATCTGCTGAGTTAACTGCATGTCTGATCTCTTGATGCCTTCTTGAAGGGATCATTTTAAACCCTTATCCATTGCTTAGCCTAGAGCTGGAATTTTTCTCCCTCCCAAAGAGAAGTTTAGAGTGAATCATAGAAGTCTTCAGATAACTAGCTGTCATAGTTTCAGCTGGGATAAAGTTGACTGTCGTAAGTAATGGCAGCTGCTGTTCTTTGGATTTGGGAAGAGAATAGTGTTGGTAAAACACTGATGTTTTTGGTTGTTGCTAGGCAGTCAAGACCTTTTCTGCTCCTCATACTGCCCCACCAGGAAGTAGATTGGGAGTGTGCAAGAAGTGGGGAGGGGACATAGCCGGGACAGCCGACCCCAACTGACCAAAGAGATATTCCATACTATATGACGTCATGCTCAGTAAATAAAGGTGGGGGAAGAAGAAGGAAAGGGGGACGTTGAGAGTGATGGCGTTTGTCTTCCGAAGTAACCGTTAGGTGTGATCGAGCCCTGTTTTCCTGGAGGTGGCTGAGCACCTGCCTGCCCATGGGAAGCAGTGAATTAATTCCTTGTTTTGCTTTACTTGCATGCGTGTGGCTTATGCTTTACTTATTAAACTGTCTTTATCTCAACCCTTGAGTTTTCTCACTTTTACCCTTCTGATTCTCTCCCCCATCTGGCCGTGGGGGGAGTGAGCAAGTGACTGTGTGATGGTTAGTTGCGGGCTCAGGTTAAACCACAACACTAGCTCTGCCATCATCAACTATGTCGAACATCTTTGGCTGTCATCCTTAGAGGGACAACAAGAGATTCAGGCAATAGCTTATTAGGTGTTTACTCTTCTCACATATAGTCTTTGAGAGAACTACAGTGTATTATATTTTCTTCCATGGATATGGCTCTTAATCACAACTTCCTCTCAGTTCTTGGAAGAAATATAGATTATCTAGTACTAGATTGAATCATCAAGTTCATTTCATTTGAGGATCTTTCTTTGCCAGGCCTCTTGAAACAAGTAAGATTAATGTATACTATTTTCATGGAAGACAAAGCTTGAAAAGGCTGCATGGCTACATAGTTGCAGTACTGGAAATGTTTCCTTGCCTGCCCCTGGTTAATTTTTATTTCTACAGAAGGCTCACTTGTCAAGCCAAGAATATACAGCTATAAATACTCCTTTACCATTTCTCTATTGCAAGATGTAGTGTGCAATAGTGCCTGATCTCAAGAACTAAACTCCAACAGTCTACACTGGAGACTGGATCCAGGACTTTTTGAGGTCGCTTAAAAAACTCCCATCAAATTCAGCAGTTTGAGAGTAAGTCTTTAGGACCTCTTCTGCGAGGAATCAGGTCCACTTAGATTTAACAATGCTTTTTGGAAAGGAATGAAATGTGGTTTGTACTGCTTAAGCACATAAAAGGCAGGGATTATTGTCAAGCTATGAAAACTCACAGTTTGTCTTGTGTCAGGGGACTGAACAGGGCTTTTCTTCCTCAGTGAGCTCCAGTCTCCAATCGTACATGTACCTGCCCATGCTGCTATCAGGGGAATAAAGTCAGAGAGAGGAATAAAAAGCAAGAAAAAGCAAATGCAGCAAATTGCTCCTTCCCCTTCCCTGAGATCATCTTCTTTTCCAAACTGTTACAATAAATTATTTACCATGAGACATACTCACTGTGCACGTACCTTAGCCGTCTCTTTATTCCTGGTTCTCAGCTTTTCATACATTATGGCTAACTTGGTGGACATGAGAGCACTTAGGTTTCCTTGGATGTAGGAACCTGGATGAAGTGACTCAGCCCCATCTCGGGGCAAGCCTGGGCCGAGCTTTGCCTTGCTCCTTCTGCTGGCACCATGACATCCAGGAAGGGCTCAGGCTCGTGGTCCAGAAGGAGCTGTGGCACATCCTGAGCAGGGTCCACACCTGGACAGCTACGTGATCGTGCAGCTGAGACGCTCCATTACCACCAGACTTGATGTAGCTGCAGAGCCATAGCAAGGCCATATTACTAATATAGATGACAGATTCTGCATTTAGAGTCATTTTTTTTTCCAGAATAACTTCTGGTTTTTCAAAGCACCTTTCCTGTATGCCCGTTTATCAGTTTTAGTGCTTCTGCTGTTGCAATTCTCAAATTGGAAATAAATCAGTTGCAACAGCTCAGTGAATCTTTTCGTTTTCTTTTCTTATGTTTCTTTTTGCAGATGGTGCGGTAGCTGAAATTGAGAAAAAGATTATAGAAGCTTTTGAGGTGTTTGACCATGAATGCAATAAAACTGTGGATGTCAGGTTTGTAAATATCTTCACACAGAAATATTACAGGATCTAGTATAGAGATAAATAACTCCCTAAACCTGCCTCTGCTTTATCAGAAAATGTAGTTGAAACAGTCCTTTTGGTCCTGCTTGGACAATTATGTCTTTGCTTGTTTAATAGACATTTTGCGTTGTTCGGTGGTTGAATACTGAAACTGGCTTGAGAGGGATGCTGGGACTGGTAGAGGAAAGAGGAAAGAGGAAACTGCAGCTAGACAAGAAGTCTAAGGCTACAATTATTACTAGCAAATCTCTGGTCTGATAGCTCATTTGGCACTACAGAACCTGGATCCCATATGGATCCTCTTGCTTTCAGGATAGTCCCAGCACATCAAGGGGTGTCCGGGCCAGTGTGTGACACAGTTACCTGCTCTCAGTAGGTGTCTCCAACTGCAATGCATCCTGCACCTCGCTCTTCCTCTGGGGTAATGTGGTAGTTCTCCCAGTCCCTAGAGTGGGAGACTTTCAGGGAACGTCTCCACACTGGGTACAATTGCTGTTCCCAAAGTGAGCTCTTTGGGAAGAGCGCTTACTTAAATCTCTTGGCCCATTCCCAGGGAGGTGCCTGATGCCTGGGGCTGGGGCTGTCCCAGTGCCCCCCAGCTGCTCCTGGCTGGGCAGTGGGACGGGCCCTGGCTGCTGGGTCCTGCCCTGCCACCTACCATGGGGAGCCCCTGCCCCTGCCACTCTCCCCAGCTCTGGGGAGCCCCTAGCCCTCACTGCGCCATGACATACTAGTTGCTTATTTGTTTGTCATTTACACCTGCAGTCCTGACCTACATAGCTGTAAAATTTGCTACACTCCTCGCTTTATTATATAATGGATATAGAGCTTGAGAAAATGTTACAACAATGAAATGATACAAATAGACTTTTTTTTTATATTTATTCATTCAGACAGTAAGTCATAACATGTGAAATGAGACATTCAAAAGTATATTTAACATAGTAAATGCACATTTCCACATTAATTTTTATCATGATACAGTTACTGACAATGAACAACAATTTATTGTCTAATTAATCCTAGGTTCATATTGCAGTGCTGTATCACAATAATGGGATTATTAATGGCTGATTAACTTGTATCAGAAGGTGGCAGTACAGCACAATTCTTAACCACAATTGTAGATGTATGAATGTTATTGCCTGAAATATCAGATTCCTGTGAAGAATGTGGAAAATTACACTGGCTTGAGAGGCCAGCATTGGTATTGCATGACTCCTAATGCAAATAAAAGTTAGTAAGAAATTAAGCATGAGGAAGACGGTATTGTTTCATGCTGCTTACAACACACCCTGAGTCGAGGGCTTTCATGATTTTGCAAATCTTGTAATTGAAAGTGTTATATGTAGGGTGAAAACTATGGCCTAAAATTGTATTGCGTCTGTGTTACAAAACCTATAGGAACATAAACTCATTTTAACCACCATTTTTGTATGCTAGAAACTACACAGCAGAAACTGCAGCTGCTGAACTGCGTGAGGAAGTGGCTGGGAGGAAAATACAATTTCCTATCTGGGTCCTTTAAACTCCATGTTACTACCAAATGTGGCACAAGTTTTTTGACCACAGACACTTCAAACAACATCCTTGTGCTGGCACACACATCAACTGTCAGAAACAGCAGCCAGAAATGCCAGATTTTGCAAGCTCTTTCAGGGCCTGGCTTACCTTAGTCACATCGCAGCTTTGCTGAGTGTGAGGTGAGGCAGGAGATGATGGCAACTTTCCCATCTCTGGCAGTCTGTAAGAGCGGAAATAGTGTGGGACAGCAGGGAGGCATGATTCGGGTTGGGTGTTTCTCTGGGGGAGGCAGAGAATATTTACAAGCATCTTTTAGCTGGAAAAGACGAGGGAGTGCAGGAGTGAGAGCATCAAATACAGTGCATCCATACGAGAAATATGGTGCATGGACAAGGATTATGACAACAGGACTAAATGTCTGACCTCATTGAGGCCGAAGGCCAAACTTCCATTCACATCACAGGGGGCAAGGTTTCACCCAGTCATTTAAGCAGATGGCTTTGTTTCATAAGGACTGTAAGTGTGGGATTGGGTTTTGTTTTGTAACTATTTTTGTGCAACCAGCCTTATCCTCTCTTTTGTCTATTGTAGTGCTTCTCACATGTTTTCAGTCAGAATGGAAGCTCCTTGGGACCTATCTGAAGAGGCCAAAGACTGACCCATCTCATTTTATGGGGGCTTTGCTGTGCCATATTTGGGGCCTTACTGTTGTAAGATGATTTTATAAAGGTCATTGCTTCTTGTATGTACCATTTTTATTAGGCAATCTAATTTTTCCACCAAAGGTACTGGTGAAGATGAAGAAACCACAAAGGTTTGATTCATGGGAATCTCATGGGACACTGCTGGAGCGTGTCCAGAGGAGACCCATGAGGATGATCCAAGGGCTGGAGCACCTCTCCTATGAGGAGAGGCTGAGAGAGTTGAGGCTGTTCAGCCTGGAGAAGAGAAGGCTCCGGGGAGATCTTATTGTGGCCTTCCAGTACCTAAAGGGGGCCTACAGGAGAGCTGGGGAAGGACTTTTTAGTAGGGTATGTAGTGACAGGACGAGGGGGAATGGCTTTAAACTGGAAGAGGGCAGGTTTAGATTAAACATTAGGAAGAAGTTTTTCACTCTGAGGGTAGTAAGGCACTGGAACAGGTTGCCCAGAGAGGTTGTTGAGGCCCCATCCCTGGAGGTGTTCAAGGCCAGGCTGGACGCGGCCTTGGGCAACCTGGTCTAGTGGGAGGTGTCCCTGCCCATGGCAGGGGGGTTGGAACTCGATGATCTTCAAGGTCCCTTCCAACCTAAACCATTCTATGATTCTATGGGAACCACAGCTTTGTGGGTGCTTATTCACATTTGAATTTCTGTGTTGTAGAACTGGACTGAAAATCACAAGCAATATTGATGCTTCTGTTATTTTGTTTTCAGTCATACCGTAAGTCTCACTAGTACTCTTTGTTACAGCTTTACAGTACTTTTGTTTCTAGTCTGTGATGTTGTTCATCTTAAACTTTTCTGAGGCATTGCCAGTTCAGTCAGAATTTTATTTAGAGCCTCAGAGAACAACTGCACCAAGTTCAGCAGTAAATGCAAGCTATGAGTATAATTTGCAGCAGAAACAGAGTGGTGCTATGCCCCCGTGTTGGTCTGTTTTACTGTTTCAGAGCACAGCAGGGCCATAGCAGGGCTGCCTCTTTCCTGACCTTTTGTAGTTGTTCTTTAATGCAGTTAGAGTTTGTATCTTTATAGCATTTAGTGTAAACATGTATTTTATTTGTTACCCTTCATCTCAGTAGGTTTTCCAGTGTTTTATTGACTATATAAATGTAGACTTTACTGAAACTAAGCTTAACAATTAGAGGACAGCAGTTGAAAAGTAACCTGCACACAGTACACTGCAACACAATGGTAAAGAAGAACTTTTTTTGGAAGTCACAAGAACAATTATAGTCCTCCAAAAAGCATATTTATTGTATGTAAAAATAGACATTGCTTGCCAAGACGTCATTTTAAAAGCCCATATACATATACTTGTGCATGCTTGTGTGCTTGTACGTGCACACTCCTGTACACAAGCTCTGAATTGATATCTGGATTCTCCACAGATGCTCTTGTATTGCAGATTTACTGACAGAGATGTTCTTTCTTTCAGAGAGATTGGTTCAATTGTCAGGTCACTGGGTTGCTTCCCAACTGAGGCAGAACTACATGAACTGCTTGCAAAGGTAAACATTTAGATCTTTTGTATTTTTTTCAGTCGTAAACTTGCATGAGTTTGGCCCTTCCGCCTTGCTGTGTGGGAGACCTAAGCTCTTTTCCCACAGGTTGGAAGTGTCACGAAAGTGATTGAGGCAGGCAGGCAGACTCTCAGGTTGCCCTGAAGCAAGCTGATGGGGTAACAAATTTGATGGGTTAAACAGAGGAGCCTTTGACTCTCTTTTACCCCAGAAGGTTACTGTGACACTGTGCCAAGGCGGAGGGACATTTATAGAAAATGGAGTAAAAATTGGTTTTGGCCAATGAAAAAGGATGTCCTAAACCTCAGTCGGATTAGGATATCCAAACCCTAACCATCTCACTCTTCTGGACATGCCATGGACACACACAGTGGATGATTAAGCAGGTGTTAAGATCATGCATCAAATTCCAAAAATAAACAGAGGGAAGACCACCTATTTTTTTCACTGGATCCTGTTATTACTATCTCATAGTCAGACTTTTCAACTTTTTGTCCTTCATGAGGTCTCTCCCAGTCTTGAGATTTCTCAGTTATGGGTAAGTAATCTTTTCCTGCTGGGTTACTTAAGCCCGTAAGTCAGAATTCAGACATAAAACTTTGCAAGACCTAGCGGTCCTCCCATTCTCCCAAGCGATATGCAGGGGTAAGGAACTTCAATCACATTTCTCCATGTTTTTTTTCCTACACTAATTTTTGTCTTCTTACCTCATGCTTGTAATAGAAAGGACGGTGTGCGGGTGCCTTGGCAGGGTATGGTTTATAAATGGGACAAACAAGTGGGAAAAAGACTTCACATTCTTTTTTGCAAACTGATATGCTGTCTTAACGAATGGAAGATGCTGGGGCTGAGACATAGGGGAAGGATTTTTCTCTTTTTCATGTATAAGTCAGGATACTGGGAATTGATCTCTCTTATTCTTTTCTTCCTGTCCCCAATAAAAATTTGGACCGTTGGCAGTAGTAGTCTCTCCTCAGTAGGCTTGTCTGGTCTCTTGTAGATCAGAATTGAGTGTGAGAAATCTTGTGCTAAGTCTTGTGAAAATGATGCAGCTGCTTCAGATGATGAAGTGCAAAGAACCATCAGAGTAGAAAAATCTTTTAACACGATACTGCAATCTGTCTGCTCTGGTTCTGTACTCTCAGTACCAGATTGTCCCAGCTCCCACTGACAAACAAGACAAAATGGAAAGAGAAATTATGGTGCTTAATATAGATGATATTTTTAGTGGCACACAGAGATTTTTGTTTGCAAATGAACAGTGCAACTGACTCAAGATACAGAATTGAGAAAAAGAAAAGGATGCTTTGACCACCCCCCGCCCCAGTCCAGGGCAACCAGGAGAGTTTAAGGCCTGCCTGCCCCTCCCAAAGAGGCTGGACCTTTTTTCTTTTCTCTTTTTTTTTTTTTTTTTCAATTTTCAGCATTACTGAAAATTTGAGATAAGTAGTACATAACAAAGTACAATTCAATGCAGCTACGAGGCGGAAGATTCTTGAGATACAACAGTATAACACGTACGCTATTGTTGATTACAAGGATATTAAATTAAGGTACAAATACTGCAAGAAGAAAGAATATATTCAAGAGTAATGGTTAACATTAAAGAACACTGAACTGGAAGTTAAATCTCAGAGAAGGTTTCATGGTGCCTGTAAATGAAACCTTGGCATAAGTTTAGTACCAGAAGAATACTGTCATCTCGTAGAACCCTTAATATATTATGTTAATCACAAATATATCTTAATTTATATAAGACACCATTATAATTGCCTATGGTAATACCATTTTATCTTAATGTAGATACAGCAAAAATTGTCTCTGTGGGCCAGTTTGTAACCAAGCTATTTCTCCTGTATTTTTGCCCATTGTAAGCTGTGATTCCTTTCTGTTTCTCACGACTTGTGTCTCTCAGTCATGTCATCTTCCTGTTAGCCTTATTGTAGCTAAACTGGCATATGTTGCCCTCAAATTATTCATATCTGCCAAATCAGCATTCATTTATTATTTTATCTCTAAAAATTATCATATACTGTTCCCTATATTGCCTTATTGTAAATGCTGTCATTAATATCGTATCTTTAGGCCTACTTACAAAGTCAAGATTAAATGATTGTCCTAGAGATGGTGAAAGCTAATCCGAGGGTTACTACAATACCTGGAGTTTGAAATCCCAGGTTCAGTGCACTGCTCTGCCACAGATCTCCTGGATAATTTTGGAAGATGGTTTTGTTCCTTTGTGACTCAAGCCCCCAAATGTTACGTGGACAATAAAAGTATGGCTGTGAGAGTAGAGATACGAAACATAATGTGTGCTACAGTACAGTTGTTATGGGAGCTGTGGATGTACCCAAAGGAAAGAGACAGAGCAAAACTTACAGAGTTTGAACATGCAAATACTGTTATTGTCACAATCACTGTGAAAAGAGGAGGAATTACAGAAGAAGGAAAACATCAAAGGGAAATCAGGTGTAGAACAGGAATGAGTATGAGGAAGAGTAAGAGGGTACATATACCTGCAAATCTGAATACTTACTGACTTAGGTGATGTTAATATATTCAATTTATTCACATATCTATCCAATGTTAGAAATAGGATTAATTTTAACAGTTCAAGATATTGCTGGGCCTGTAGACCCACTGAAATGGAAGCTGTTCTTTCCAGGTCAGAGGAAGCTGAGGTTGTTCATCACCTCCCAGGACTTGGTCCATTGTCAGGAAGAGCACTTTACTTCCGCAGAGTGCCCTCTGAAGGCAAAATACAAATAGCACACCAACAAAAAGAGACAAATTTGGGTGATATTAATCAGTGAGGTCTTACACTTTGACGGGTATTTGTTACGTTGAGCTGTGAAGTGGTCATTGCCAGTGAGTTCTTCTGGAATGAAAATTAGGGTGACCTTCAGCTGTTTGGATGAGCACAGCTAAAGTTTTTTGGATCTTAAATGGGGTTTATATAACTTATCATCTTTGTGGATGTTTTGGGTCCTTGCTTTTGGTTGTCCTGCTTAATATAAGACACATCTATCTTTTTCCAATAAATAGCTACTGTATTTCTTTTTCTGTCTCTGTGGTCTTCTGACCTATTGAAGCACAGAAGTTCCCTAAAACATCCTGTGTACTTGTACATCTCAATACTTGTGATGCATGGAACAGTTCAGTGTATCGACTAACTGTTATGTCACAGGAAAGAAGTTAAGTTTTGCCAGGTATTTTGTTACATCTTTTCAATCAATCAATCAGTAAAACAAATGATTCTGTAACGGTAAAAGGTACCGTTTGATTTAGCATGAAGCATGCAACAGCTTCATTTCCTTGCTAAAGATCCCTTCCACTAGGCTAACCAAACAGAAAGGAAAAAGAGCATTTTCAAGCCAGTTTCCACTCTAAGTCAGCAAGAGGTGGTGGCTGCCTGCTTTTAGCAACCAAAACCCCACAAGAGCACTGGAAAACAGCATGCAGCAGCAGTTGCAGCTCTCCATTTAAGCAACTGGATATATCAGGCATCACCCCCAGCTCTTACCCAGCTCCCAAGAGGAAGATTTCTTACTTCGTCTTTTCCTGGCTCAGCGAGGAGATTTCAAATCAGTGCCTATTTGAGTCTTCTTTCAATCTCAGCTGTGTCTGTGGGGAGCCTAGCAAGGTGTCGCTGCTGCCATGTGAGACCACAAGGCACGCATCCAGTTTCAACACAGACAGGAACAGGCTAGCTCCGTTAAGAGGGCTCCTTTTGGGAGTAAAACTTGAAATTTTTAGGGAAGGGATGCACTGGGATGATAGGAAGCAGTTGCTCATCTCCTGCAGAAGTATACGAATGCAGTGAGAATGCTGCTAGAAGTCCCTGATGTTTTGGGACTTATTTGTTAATTTATTTGGGAGGCAAAAGGAAGCTTTTCTTTGTGTAGCATTTTATGGGCTGCCTTATGACTGTTTCAGAACTGCCCTGACTCAGTCTGCCTGCCTCTCTGGTCCTTCCCCTGACGACTCTCTCTGGCTATGAAACATGTGGAGGCAACAAATTCCATCCTGGAGGTGTACTAGACTGGGGCTATGTCCAAACCAGCACATTAAATATGCCCAGAAACATCCTTGGGTGTTGAAGCCAGCTGGCACAGAGCAGCTCATGTCTGCCCTGGTAAATGTTTTATGCGGAGTGGCTGCACAAAGCACAAAGCTGGAGAACAGCCCCTAAGGTCCTAGCCAGGCCTGGTGACTGCTGGGGGGAGCGTTAGGTGGCACAGGCCAAAATCATGCCAGGGAACGTGCTAATGGTTTGCTGTTATGGGTGGTCACATTACACTGCTTGGGAATGTTCCAGGTCCTGCTGGACTTTACCAGTATGAATGTAGTCTGAATGCTTAAACCTCTGCTGAGTTATTGTGGGAGATAAGATCAGTTACTAAACGTCCAGTTCCTTTGCGTGAATGGTTTCTAAGCACAAGAGGGCAATATTGAGTTGTTGAAAGTGTCTGGAATAGCAGGGCTGCATTTTGCCTGGGATATTATTTCTTCCTCGAATTTCTTTCTGTTTGATCACAAGCATTTCACTCAGATGTTATGGTGCCATGTGATATTAAAAACCTGATATAAATATTCAGAGTCTAACTCTGTAATTTTAATGCAGGAACCACCCTAGTTTTCTGGTTTTCATATTCTTTTGCTAATGAGTCATATAACCTGCCATAGTTAAGTTTTATTTTTAGGTAGAAGAAGAAGAACCGACCGGATACATTAATCTGGAAAAATTTCTTCCAGTGATGACAAAAGTACTACTCGACAGAAGGTAATGGAAAGTAGATTTTCTGTGTCTGTATTTTACTCCAGATTGACAGGGTTGATTCTGAATAAATATATCTACAGTAATTTTATGTAACTGGAAGGAGTGCAGATTTTTTTTGTTATTTAAACTCAGTTTACATTAGCTTGATAGCTTTTGTTTCAAAATTACTTTATCTACATAAAATTATGTTGTACGGATGATATAAATAATACCAGCTTATAATCATGAATTGTGATAATGTGTAGCTTTTGTATTTTTAATGTGAATCAGAATTAACTTGCTATTCAACATGTTTTGTGCATCTCTGGAATATTTTATATGCAAATTAAGGTCATAACCATTATTTTCTCTGAACATATGAGTTACAGTTAGAGAAGCACAGTCTGTTACAGTGTATTTTTAATAAGTTGTATAAATCAGCTTCATATTCATGTCTCAAAGAGACTGCCAGGTACAGTTGAATGTACACAACTAGCACTCTAAAAGTCTGCCGATCTAAGAGTCTAGAACAAAACTGCATTTCATTATTCAGAGGTACATAGAAATCTTTGCATGTATACAGGAACTTGTGCTCTTTTGATATTTTGCACTACAAGTGAGATTACTTAAAGGCAATTTATCTTTCTTTTGAAAGATGGTGGCGAAGGGTTTTGAGACACTCAGTCTTGTCCGATACTGAGAAGTTATTTTGCACACAGAGGGCCTTTGGTAGGAGGGTGTTACACACATAAAATAGCTGTAGGTTTTCCCAAAACTTATCTTGCAGCATCCAGAGGCAGCGGGATCCACCCTGGGGCTGTGTTTGAGAGTATTTGTGCCTATGCCTGTACACAGACCAGCCAGCAGTGTTTGGGTCCTGGTGTGCCGGCACAGCTGCATTGCCTTCCCAGGTTCCTGCACCTTTGCCTTCTCTGGCCTTCATGGCACATTTCTGGATTCACACTGATGTTCATCCTTTCACAAAATTATACCTTACTGCTCTGGGCTCTCTTCGTCTCCTCCCCACACCCTCTACACAAACATACACACACACACACCAAAAAAAACCCCCAACAAACCCACACATTTTCCCCAGGCTAGTGCAAGCTTGTCAAGACCCACTTTATCTTTTGGGGCACTATGTCCATAGTTCACTTATCCAAGGGCACATGAGATTTGGATCACAAAAAACAAGGCCTCTTCTTAGCACATTTGATTTTTAGATAGTAAAAGAGCGAGGCGGGTCTGGACGAAAGAGTCAAGCAGTTAGAACCTCCCTGGCTTCAACATTTTCTCTTTAGTGTTCTTGGAGATTGGTGAGAGTCTGCTGGTGGTCTCCACTGCTGCACAGGGTTCCCTTTCCAGCTCTTTGGACGTGGTTTAGTGGTGAACTTCGCAGTGCTAGGTTAATGGTTGGACTTGATGATCTTAAAGGTCTTTTCCATCCTAAGCGATTCTGTGATTCTGAAATTAGGCACATGCATGCGCATACACATGTGCCCAGTTCTCCTGTCTCTCTGAAACTGTTAGTGACAGACCTTTTCTTTTATAGCTACCAGCCTCCTTTGCTCATCATCAGCTTATTAGACTGTCAAAGTCCCACTAGGTGATCTGTTGTCAAGCAACCAGCATACCTGGACAAAACTTTATTTTCTTGGTTTGGCCTTCTTCTGTTCAGTGCATTGGCTACGTGGAATGATTCAGCTATTATTGATTCCTACTAACCCATTCAGCCAGCCCAGACACGCAGAAGCCATTCATCTGGCTCCTTAGCACAAGGAATATTAAACAGGAGAACAAAAAAGGGCATAAGAGCTAAAGATATGGAGAGTTCCAAAAAGTCAAGCAGGAATTAAACGTTTGGCAGACAAACTTAGTACATTCTCATAGAAAATAAGTTTTTCTCTTTCTTTTAGTTATATTTTATTCTTTCAGAATAGTAAAGCAGCCTGGCAAACAGTGACTTAACTTTTCTGATTCAATGGTTTCAGCTACCCGCCTATTCCAGAAGATGTTCTTCTACATGCATTTGAGGTCTGTAACTAAATATTCAAGTACCTAATTGCTGGAAAGAAGTTGCTGATTCCTGATTCAATATGGTTACAACCACAAGTTTTATTCTTTTTCTTTAAAGGCTTTGGATGAGAATAAATGTGGATATATTACTAAGGAGGAGCTGGTCAAATATTTGACTGAAGAAGGTAACATGACTTTTGTAATATCAGTATTTAAGTAAATAAACATTACATGTGTATATGGCACCTTGAGGTCCTCATTCTGCATGCCAAAACTTGCGGGAGTAGATACATTGTCTTCAAACAATACTGTTGCTGTGATGAGTGGCTGCAGACTAGAACACTTCACTGGTGAATAATGCAGGGAAAGAATATTTATGTGCCTGCTTCCAGACATTATAAGACAGAGATTATTATTGTTATTAAGAATCATAATTCAATCTTGCGTGGATATTTTATAATTCTGTGCACATCTCTGTGCTTCCTAAGGACGTGATTCTTTTTCTGTCCTCCTGTAAAATCACTTTAGATTTCCAGATGTTTCAGATAGTTCCAGTGCTCATTCATTCCTACATTATCTTGATCTTAATTCTAGTGCCGTACGCAAACAAAGAGATTCAAAGACCAGATTTAAGTTGTATATCATGTAATCCTCAATATCCCTTGAAGAGCCTGCTTTTCTTGCATGGCTGACTCATGCCTGCCTCAAGTACAAAACAATGTGCAGGCTTTGTGCAAGACCTATCCTCAGATGGGGACCTCATTCTCAAGGAGCGATCTGGTAGTCCATCAGCAGCTTTGAAGCTCCAAAAAGAGAAAAAACAGAAGCCTTTCATGATGTAAGTACAAGTGAAAGGATAGCCAAATGAAACATACTGATTCTAATGTACGCATTAGAAGAATTCACTCTGACAAAACCAGTTGTTTAGAAATCCTGGTGGCAGAGAGGAACAGGCTGTTTTGGAGTCTGAACTAGAAGGAGATCAGAAGATCCAGGCCCTCTCCTTTCCCATAGACCAGCTCACTTGGTGTGCAGGACTTACGTTGGCAAAAGGGAAGGAATTGGATCCTTAGTATTACTCCTTTTCTCCTCTGTGTAAGGACCAAAAGGAGATCCTTGCAAGGGAAAAGGGGTGCAATTTGCCAGCCCTGAAAAGAATACTTATCAAGACGAAGTGTTGTTCTCTGCTGTCTTTCAGGTGAGCCCTTTACTCAGGAAGAAATGGAGGACATGCTCTCCACTGCTCTGGATCCAGAAACAAATACTGTTTGCTACAGAGACTACATTTCGATGATGATAGTAGATGAAAGTTGAGATCTTCCCCTTAAGTGTTTGAGATGACTTTTGGTAACAGCAGTGTAGCTTGGCAGTTAGTTGAAATATGTATTTTAAAGTATAACAAAGCTCAGCTTGTGACCTTGTGCTTATAATTAAAATAAAATCTGTGTAGCTATATTTCCTTGAGTTCCGTACACATATTGAAATATATTCACACCTGGAAAAAGAGCTCTTGACAGAAATACTGTGTAAGGTCTGGAAAAGAAATCATGGAATTTGGTTTGAAAAATAACAGGAAAAATAATGTTAACAGAGTCAAGAAATGACTTTACAATTGCTTCTGAAAAACTAATGGAAAACAAGACCTGTGAAAGTGGGTAATAAGGTAGGTAAGTGAGTACCTTAAGATGACTAAAATTGTGAAGGCATGCTACTAAGATAAAGCTTTTATATTTAAATGTAATCCCTGTCTGTGTTTAACTAATAAGGCACCAGGTAGGTTACTACTTTTGAAATAATATAATATATCAAATAAACTTCTTACGATTTAGCATTTTTGTCAAATATTTGTGCTTTGTTTAACATAGGCAATTAAACTGGACCAGTTAGTTCTATTTTATGTTACTCGTCCATCAGCACGTGATATTTTGCTTCCATTTTAAACATGCAGGCAACACTTAAACCTTTGCCATAGTCAAATTTACAAAGTAATCCTTGAGAACATTTCTGTTACTATAAGCAATAAACAGTTCCCCTTTCATAACCAGTTTGAAAGTCAGGAGCTAAAACTGTTCAGAACTTAGGATCACAGGACTGGAATTTGATTTTCATAAACTGATGAAACACCATTTTTTGAAAGCTATTAGTGTAGAATTCATGTCTCAGCTGCCCTTGCTAGAAGACCACCGCAGACCTCACTGGTCTTCTCATTTCTAACTTAATAATTTTCTTGACTGTTGCTGTCCTTTAACTTGAGTTCGAGCTCTGTCCTCTGGAGCTCTTGCCTTGTACATCATCTTCTAACAAGTGACCAGCAGTTGCCCTCAACTGAGGAAGTCTCAGCTTGTAGGAGAAGATTCTGTGGTCTAGTCCCCAAGGACATCATCTTGCACTTTGTGCTCCACACCTTCGACCCCATTTCTGTTTTTTTACTCTCTATCAAGTTTGGTTTCCTCCTGTACAGTGTCCTACCACTCCTCTGTCGTAACCGCATGTTCTAGCTCTGTGTCATCAACAGACTTCATCAGCTGATGAAATCTGGGGAAGACTGACACACAGAGGCACTGAACACCTTACCCTCTGTCGTGCCGTTCTGGTGGCAGAGCTGAAAACAGAGCACAGGGCTCCTCACATCAGGTCTTTTGCTCTACCCATTTGTTTCCCTTGAGCTGGAAGCTCAGAGGAGCTGTTTTCATACACAGCTGCAAGGGAGTTGCTATGCTTCACAAAGAAGAGATTAGCACCATCTAAACGTAGTGATGGAAGCAATCTGAAAGGGACCATTTTTCAATTCTCTTTTAACTTCTCTAACACAAGTTGTCTTTCACTGATATTTTCCTTAACAGTAAGGCAACAAAGAGTTAACGCACATAAACATTTACCTAGGTCTAAGCTGGGTTTCCATCTGGAAACCACTGTCGCACTGATCCTAAGACTGCAGTGCACTCTTGTTAATACATTTACTGTGTATTTCATTTCTTTGTCAGTAAGAATGAAAAACAAAGGTAATCGTTAGTGTTATAATGTGCAAAGATACAGGTTTCTGACGATTAAAGCAAGAACAACAAAGGCCCATTAAGAAAATATATTTTTTTATTAGTCTTTTTTAGTCTCTCTTTGGAAGCTGAAATTATTTTCCCTAGCTGAATCCTTCTTCCGTTTGATATACAGTGTGTTGTACTGGATCTCTAACACAGCTGGCATGAATACAAGTTTCATTCATATTCTGCAGTCTGGGAGCCACTGTGAGATTCATCTTGGATGTCAGCAGGAGGATGCCTATTTCAGGAAATCATTTCATAGCTCGCAGTGCTCCAGAGAGAGCACAATTTTCTTCTAGTGGGCTACCCCAGAGGCTGCCTCAGCTACTGCTGTATCAAATCAGGATGCCCGTGTACAACACAGTTACAATTCATAGTGCAGATAGGATCTTAACAGATATATAATTTTTTATCCTACAGTCCTCAAATGCAAGGGAAGAGGGTATTTTGGCAAGTAAAAAGTGGGATTGTGTCTGAATTTATCACACAGCAACTCCTCCAGCCCCATCTTATATGTGTCCCCAAGAAAGATACGTGCAAATAGGATGGATAAAAGCAAGTTGCAGTCTTCGCTTTGGGCATAAGCAACCGAGGTCAGTTGTCTAGAGAGTTTCCAAATTGGGGGTGAAGGAATTGTCAAGAACCGATCTCAGACTGTTTAGGACCCTAAAAGCTGAGTGCTCCCTGCCAGCTAGGGTCAGGTAGCAGTGATCTGACCAGCTTGTGCAGGAGGTGCCCCGTGGGTCCTCCAGGAAGCAGCCAAGAAGTGCCACACGCAACTCTTCCATTGCCCTTGTCTTTCATGACTTGCCAGCCCATGCCGTGCCCACCCAGCTCCCCGTGGTGGTGGTGGGCTGCATAAGGGGACTTTTCAAAGCTCCCCAGGATGGGCTTTCTGAGCACCTTGCATATCTGCTCCCTGGGGAGCTACCTGCCTCTCCTTGCTGGTTGTTTTGCCTCTTCCCTCAAGATCAGGAACCAAGATAAGGGAGCGGATCACACTGGGAAGCCTCTAGGGAGGAACCAGCCTAGCACCTGGACTAAATCCACACAGGGCAGCAGAGCCAAAGCTTTGAAGAAGTCAGAGGGTTTTTGACCTAGTTGAAGGAGGGAGAAAGAAGGGAACTCATTACCCAGGCATAAAAAAGAAAACAAAAAGAAAAGAAAAAGAAGAAATCAAAGAAGTAAAGCCTGGAAACCATCTACAAATACAACTGAATCAGCAGGCTGTTTACATCGCTGCTGCAAGTTGTAGGCTGGGCAAGACTTCACTTGTTTAAGTAGGTTCAGCTGCGTCAGGGCAGATCTGGTATATTGTGGAGACCTTCTCTTCAGTCTTATTGATACTGTGGAGAAATTCTTCCAGCTGCTGAACTTGCATTTGGGAGTCCTGTTGCTCATATTGCAGGTAATACATTGTTTTTCATGTTTCCCTCATCACCTTCGGAGCTGCTTCTTGAAAACACTTTTCGGTCTGCTAGTGACAGTCCCATACATATTCACACCTGAAGGCTTCAACATTTTCCCATTGCAATGCATACCGACCTGGTATTTACAGTTCTGTCAGACTCTCCACGGACTATGGGCAGAAGCAGAAGTTGCAGGACTTCCTCCACCGAATCACTAAAGGGCCAACATCAGACCTGGGACTTGAGGAAAGGAACTGGGCTGTTCACCTATGCACCTCCACCCATGTTGACACAGAGGTAAGAACCTGCAAAATGTTCCCCGAGTTACTACTGTGTTGAGAAACTTGAACTTAACTGGTTCAGGTCTTACTGTGGCCTTGCAGTTGCCTACAAATTTTACCTCAAGACAGGCAGGTTCAGTATAACTTTGCCCTTCCGGGGGCCTTTGGTGCTGCAGGGGAAGCACAAGGATTGTCAGTGGCAGCCATGCCTGCAAGTACCACATTAAATAAAAGCTGAAGGTCCCTGTGCTGTAGGGGCCAGATGGGACCATTTAGGGTCTAGAAGACACAGGAAGTAGCTTTTTTGGAAGGGGAGGCATGTCTCCTGGCATCCTGGCCCCAGTAGAGGAGAGGACATGAGATTAAGGGTGTTTCTGCAGAGGAACAGCAGGAGAGATCTCAGGAGGCAAAGATGATAATATCTGCTGTTAAATTAGGGGAGACTGTAGAGAAGACAACATATAACAGTGGTTATTTTGGAGACCTCCGCTGACTCTTGGATGAAAAGCTCTGCTAGCCTGAAGGGTCAGCTCCCAGAGCCAGTGGTCCTGCCTCCTGTCCAAAACTTGTCACAGACTCATTACAAAACATCTTTTTTCCCCACTGCCAGAGAGGCTGATGTTACCCATCATCCCAGTGGAGAGCACCGTGTTCTTGCTTTCTCCCTCAGCCTGCTTGTTTCGAAAGCTGTCTCTCAAAGGCAGAAAGCTTGGCAAAGGTTTGCTTTATAAATGTGGACAACTTAAGAGAGAAGTCCTATTCTCCAGCAGTTTCAGTGACTCACTCAAGGGCAGGACTGCCATCTGAAGAGACCTACACAGGCTGGAGGAATGGCCCAATGGGAACCTTACAAAATTCAGAAAGGGCGTATGCAGAGCCCTGCCCCTGGGCAGGATGAAGCCCTGGTGTCAGGGCAGGCCGGGCTCTGGCTGTCTGGGGAGCAGCTCTGCAGAAGAGGACCTGGGGTCCTGCTGGGCAGTGAGTGGGCACAGCTCGCAGCGTGCCCTGGCAGGGAGGGTGGGCACCAGCGCCCTGGGCTGTGCTGACGGGAGCGGAGCTGCAGGTTGAGGGAACTGATTATTTCTCTTGGCTCAGCACTTGTTAGGCTGTGTCTAAGCACTGCATCCAGCTTGGGGCCTCCCAGTGCAAGAGACCTGGACAAGCTGGAGGGTGCTCAGTGGGGACCACCAGGATGCCCAGGGCTGAAGCACTCGCCCTGCAAGGAAAGGCTGGGGAGCTGAGCTCAATCAGCCTGGAGAAGGGGAGGCTTTGGGGTGCCTAACAGCAGTCCCCTAGTCACTATGAGAAGGGTACAGTCAGTACAGTTGAGTGAATAGACAACAAGTTTTTAAGAACTCCATTTATTCTGGTTTTATTTCTCTTTTCCATCCCATTGCTAAGGAAAAATCATGACTTTTCCCTGACAGAATGATTCCTATAACTTTTCCCTCACAAAAATGCTTGACTAACACCTCCTACAATTTTTTGTTCCTATACCACAAGATTTTGATGCCACCACCAGGACAGTTTCCGTTAATCACAGTATCCCAGGACCAGAAATACTCCCCACCTGTTGCCCATTTCAC